TTTTCCCAGATCCTCTTTTGTTGCCAGTTCAGAGAGTCCAGGTGTTTGAGTATCAGATTGTTCCATCTCGTTTCCCTTTGGGATTGCTGTAGGTGATCCAGAAGTCTGTTTTTGAGGCTTGTTTACATGTCTTCTCATTTCCAAGGGGGTAAGGGGTGGGACTGCTTCTCACTCCCGTGCGGCTCACCTTCTCTGCCCTAGGAGCTTGGGGTGGCGGCGGGGGAGCTTCCTTCCAGGTTCTGGGTCTGGCTCACCTTCTCTGCCCTAGAATCTTGGGATGGTGGCCAGGGAACTTCCTTCTGGGTGCTGGGACCGGCTCACCCTCTGTGCCCTGGGAGCCTGTGATGGAGGCGGGGAGCCTCCTTCCGGGTGCTGGGACCAGCTGAGCTTCACTGCCCTAGGAGCCTGGGATGGCAGTGGGGGAGCTTCCTTCCAGGTGCCTGATGCAAGATTTTTACAAAGGTAGAGAAACTAATGAATAAAAAAGAAGAGAGATCTAAAATTGACCTGTGTATATATAAGCAAACACAGTGGACCCTCAATTTATGACCACCGGACATACGAATAACTTGGGCTTATTAGGTTGATGGAAGATTCATCTGCCTCTTGTTACCTATACGTGTACCCAGGTAAACATCCAGCTCTCAGCTGTATTGACTTACAACCAACTTGAGTTACAACCAGCCCTTGGGAACTGATCAAGTTCATAAGTCAAGGGTCCACTGTAGTTGATAAGACTGGTCACTGGGGTAGGGTGCTTTTTTAGTCAATGTTCCATGACATCCACTGGAAGGTATCAAATTTGTCTTTAATCTCACACTACACAAAAATGAATTCCAAGTGGGTATTGCACTTGGAAACAAATAGAACTTAATAGGATATAAAGAATGTAATGTAGGAAAAAAAGCTCTTCATAGAGGGATGGGGCTTCTTAAGCAGGACAGAATATATACATATTTTTTCCTTAAATTTTCTTTTATTGGAACATTTTAGGTATACAATACATTTACATTTATCATTGAGTGCTTGTACTTGTACATGATGTATCTTGGTCCTTATTTTCTCTCCATTCCCTGTGCTCCCTTCACCCCCTCCACCCTTCCCTATTTACAAAGACTTTGTCTCCATTTTTTCCTTTTCTCATAAATTTTCCTTTCCCTTCTTTCCTTTCCCCTTCCCCTCCAGCTCCACCTACCCCTTTGGACCTTTTCCTATTTCAAATGATCAATTACTCATTTTAATCATTTTAATCCTTATTTACACTTTCAGATTCTCACACCAGAGATACTATTCAGTATTTATACATGTGTGTCCTATTTATTTCACTTAAGAGTATGGCCTCAATATGCATCCATTTAGCTATAAATGTCTCTAGTT